GGACTGCCCTGCCAAAACTCCCTTGGAAGGTGTCTCATTACTAAATGAAAGAAGGTGAGACTGGGTGCCTGGGAGTAGTGAGTAATCTCTGCCATACCTACTCCTTTGGAGGTGACTCAAATTCCTCACAAGAGTCTGTGTGGTCCAGCGGACAACACTCTAATTCTCCATTCTCAAAGATGCTCCGCTTTCATCTATTTTGGGTTCTATCAATTTTCTGTCAAAAAAAAAAAAAAGTTAGACCATTTTATGGAAGGTTAATTTTACCAAGATGGAAATAGAAGGTCAAATCAGTGAGGTGACTTAGCCACAAGCATTCATCACACCTTGGAGCTTTACCTGAACCCTTGAGCCCCTGGCCACAGGGTCTGATTCCACAAGATCAAGGGTCTTGAACTGTTAGGCCTCCTCCTCACACACCATGCTCATTCCCCCCCAAAAAAACTTTCCCCATCCAACTCCTCTTCTACATTTTTTTTTTTTTTAAAGATTTATTTAAGCACTGGGTACAGTCAGAAGCACGGGAGGGTGAGAGAATTCACTAGAGCCAGAGCACGGAACAGAACAGGCAGACTGATGAAATACACTGCTGAGGGGAGCAGTAAGCATGGCAGGGGAGGTCTGTCGCGCCATGTGGGACCCTCGCCTGTGGCCGGGGATTGAACCGGTGCTGCAGAGGCTGCTGGTAGCTTCGCAGCCCAGCGCGCAACCGCTGCGCCACCAGGGGAGGCCCTCTTCTTAGCAAGCTGTTCTAATCTCAGTAGAAAATGAGAATCCTGAGGTTGAAAAATTCCATCTTGCTTCAAGTGCAGTCACTGGGTTGTCCCCATCAAATGTCTTCAAAATGAAAATGCTACATTCTCCACCAGCAAATAACACGTAAGTTCTTCCTTACCAGAGTTCTCTGAGGTACTAGGTGTAGTGGGTTGTGGATGGAAATTACCTGCCCTCATATTCACCATTTTCCTTCCTTTTTTCTCCCTCTCCCTTTTTCACAATCAGCCTTCTCTTCTGATAAAAGAACAGTGGTTGGAAGTCTCATGGATGTCCTCATCCTAAATCTAGAACTCCCCTATAGCCAATTTCTGGGCAGTGACATGTGACTTAGGCAAACCTCCTGCAGGAAGTGCTGCTGACTGGCACTTCTGGGGCAGTTTTCTTGGACCACAGTAAGGAGGCAGCATAAGAAGGGAATAGGCAGCAAGATAGTGGAGCCTGGGTCCCTGAAGATTATAGAGTCAGCATGGCAGCCCTGGGCTGCTGTTCCAGACCTTTATCTTATCAAAGCTAGTATTATTTTGTTTCTCTTTTCTCTTCTAAAGCATCAGTCACCATCCTAATTGCTTGGGGTGGAGTGGGATGGAATACTACTTTCCAGCTGACAGAGATAAAGCAGGCCATTAGTTAATGTGGTAGGAACAGGCTTCACTCAGTAACTGCTGCAATGGGAAGAAGATCCAACTTTGAACTCAAAACTTCAATTTGTATAACTATGACTGGGTGTGTTAAACAGGGAGAGGAAGTGGGGCTTGCAGAGCCAGGGAAGTGAAAAGTTACACAAAGGCCTGATTTCCCACCTGACTTTAGGGGAGGCCAGGCTCCCACCCTCCCACAGAGACTGGGAGACAGGGGCCTTTCTTTGAGTGCTGGATGGAACAAATAGTAAACTCTTCTGGCAGCCTTGAGTTTTCCCAGGCAGGAACTTCCAGGTCTGTTGTAGTTATCCCAGGGATTTGGCCTTGAGTTGTTAGAAATTGGGCTGGTGTTTCAGTCTCTTAATGCAGGATTTGGATGGAATGTGTCCAGAGCCCTGGGGTTTTTGTGGGTGACTCCCAGAAAACTTGGCCATTAGGATGACACAGAGCAATCTAAGACTCCCTGGCTCAGTCTAGCACATCCCACCTCCTTTTGGAGGTGAGCCAGCCAGCAGAGATGGTGGGACACTAGCCTGAAGAAGAGGAGCTTAAAAACAAAAAAGAAGGGGAGTCTCAGTTGCCATCACCCACCAAACAGGTCTTTAGTAAAAGCCTGGGCCCCTCATCTTCCTAGAGCAGTGGAGCAGAGAGCTGGGGTTTGGGGCCTTACCTCTGTCTAAGCTTCGTGGGACCTGCAGGGGCAGGATGAAGAGATGAGGGGAAGGCAGCCAAACTCCTGAGAGCTGGGAACCCCCATTGCCCTTGGGGCTCCAGCCTTCTACTTCTACTGTCTTGCTCCCTAACAACTCTTCTCCATAGTCACCTCAGGCCCTTACCCTGTCCCCAGAGCACTTTTCCTCTCACACACAAGTCCTTGACCCCAGTTATCAGATGTACTTGCTGGTGCCTTCCAAAATCAGCCTTTTTCCAGGGGCAGCATTTCCTTCCTGGTGATCATCAAGCACTGGGGCACCACTGTCCTCTAGAGTCCTGAGAAGGTAGAAAGAACATGTAGGTATGCACAGGAGGGTCTTGCAAGCCTGGCATGGAAGGCACACACAGTTCTCTCACATTTCTCTGAGGATACCTTAGTCGCCTGTCCTCACCCACTGTAAAAAAGCCTGGAAGGTGCCATCTGGCTGTCTGCCCTCAAAAGGGAGAATAGAGTTTGGTAGACAGCTATTCTTTACCTCTGGGGTGACCAGAATAATGGACCCGAAGAAGTCTATGCCCTAATGCCCAGAATCTATGAATATGTTACCTTATGGGGCAAAATTGGTTGGTGTTTAATATTTTGAAATGAGGATGATATTTTGTATTATTCCAGGGGCCTCATGAAATCACAATGGTCCTTAAGAGTGAAGGAGGGAGGCAAGAGAGTCAGTGAGGATCAGAGTGATGCACACAAGAAAGGCTTATCTGGTCGCTGATGAAGCTGAAGATGGAAGGGGGTCAAGAGCCACTGGATTAAGGCAGCCCATTGAAGTTGGAAAGGGCAAGGACTGGATTTTCCTCTAGAGCAGCCAGAAAGAATACAACTCCTGCTGATACCTTGATTTTAGGCCAATGAAACCCATTTTGGACTTCTCAGAACTTTAAGTTAATAAATTTATGTTGTTTTAAGCCACCAAATTGTTATAATTTGTTATAGAATTCCTTTTGTAAAAAATACCAATTGATGGGATAAGGCAATATTTTAAATTCTCAGAAGACAAGACTGTGCTTCACTTTCTACCTTGTGTCTACTCACCACCTGGTGAGCTCCTAGGGACCAATCAAAAGTGGTGGACTTTAATGTGGAGAGGTTCAAGACAGCAGTTCTTAAAATGTTGTCCACAGACCAATATAATCCACATCAACTAAGAACTTAAAGAAATGCAAATTCTTAGTCACCCCAGATCTACTGAATCACAAACTCCTGCAACCCAGCATTCTGTGTTAACCCACTGTGTGATTCTGGCACTTGCTCAAGTTTAAGAACACTGTTCTAGGAGGGAGGCACTACTCCAGATTAAAAGACTAGAAGTGTCTTCTGAAAGAAAATTTAAATATATGTAATTGTAACAGCTAACTGAAGCTGTTACAAGCTGACTGAAGTATCAGTAACTAACCCCTGAATCCTAGACATTGCTTTGCAGAAAGGATAAGATGAACCTGCTGGATAAAGGAAAATGAATGGGGAGTTTAGCAGTGTGCAAATATATATATATATATATATATATATATATATATATATATATATATATAAATTATTTGCCAAGGTTAGGAGTCTTGAAAAGGGAATTTTCTCCTCAGTTTGTAATCACTTTAGAATCTTGGTTTTGGACCACAACTTCTGTAGTTCTTGAACCAAGTTCCCCTTTATAAAAAGATAACAAATATAAAGGTCTGCAGGCTGTAAAAAAATTCTGTAGAAACTTTAAGACTGGGGTTTATTGGTCAGTTTCCAAGCAGGAAAACAGAAGCCACTCTAAGTGTTTGGATGGAGGATCTCTAAACACAGGACTGTGACACATGGAGAGATCAGCATCAGTGAAAGTCAGTGCCAGGTGTTACCAGGTACTACTTTTAAAATGTTAAAAAATGTTTAAAATTTTAAAAATGTTCAAGAAAAATATAGATGAATTTGAGGGCCTCTCTTGTGGTGCAGGCGGTTGAGCGCAGCGCTGTGAAGCTGGTTGCAGCCTCTGCAGTGTGGGTTCAATCCCCGATGGCCTCGGATCAACTCACATGGCCAGCAGACCTCTCCTGTCTCACCAGCTGCTCCCCTCAGCAGTGTATTTCGTCAGTCTGCCTGTTCTGTTCCCCGCTCTATCTCTGGTGAATCCTTTCACCTCCTCTCCCCCTCTCACATCTGGCCTGTTCCCCGGCTCTTGTATAAATAAAAAATAAATCTTAAAAAAAAAAAAGATGAATTTGAGAATTTGGCATATTGTGAAATGAAAGCAAATGGAGGAAAAAAAAAATCTTAGAAGAGGCTACTAACAAAAGAATATTTTTTTTTAAAACAAAGAATATATTAAACAGCTGACTGCTCACTAGCCAGAGTGGAAGTCAGAAATCAGTGTCTTGGTGGCTCCAATGTGACAAAAGAAAATGATGAAAATCCAGATTTCTATTACCAGCAAAAATATATTTTTAAAATGATGGTGGAATAAAGGTATTTTTAGGCAAACAAAAATTGCCAAGTTTTACCTCTAACAAGATAGGATGTTCAAATGTATGCTTTTCAGACATAAGGAAAATGCCTCCACATGAAAAAGTGGAGAGACAGACAAGAATTAAGAGCAATGGAAAGTATTAAAAATAGTAAATATGTGGATAAATCTAAATAAATATTTGGGGTATAAAAGTCTAATCAATTTAATACATATCTGAATACATTTATAGATAACAAAACTAAGATTCACAAAAACAATAGCCTATATAAGATGAGAGGTAAATAAGGTTAAAGTATTCTAAGATCTTTGCATTATTTAGGATGAAGATAAAGTATTCATTAACATTAGAATTTGATAACTTAAAAAAATGGATCTTTTAATTCTTTTTCCATCAAAAAAATAAAAAGAGAAAAATGTATAACTTCCAAACCAGTAGGGGGAAGTAGAATAATTGTAAGAGAATTCTAATAATAATTCTAATCCAATTTGAAAGAAGGCAAGAAAAGAGATAAACAGAACTTAAAATCAGTTGTGGTAAACAACTAAAACAGTGGATAAGACTTAAGACAAATATGTCAGAAACTATATAACAGATGGCCTAATGCTTCTGTCAAAAGAAGTCATCAGGCTGGAGTAAAAAGTAACACCAGAAAAACTATATATGTGTGTCCAGAGGCCTATCTGAGACAAAGATACAGAAAGGTTAGAGTAAAAGAATGGAAAGACATAAGCTATGTGGCAATAATAAAAAAGAAGCCAATGTTATTAATTCCAGAAAATACAGACTTCAAGTAAGTAAAAGGAAGTACTATAGTTGGCCTTCACTTTTTAAAGTTTAGTTCACTAGGAAGATAGGACAATTCTCTTCTTTCAGCACCTATTGATGTGACCTCCAATACATAAAAAGAAATGGATAACTTAGCAATTGCCTCATTAATTTTTTTTAAAGATTTCTTTATTTATACAAGCACTGGGGCACAGGCCAGAAGCATGGGACAGTGAGAGAATCCACCGGAGACAGAGCAGGGAGCAGAACAGGCAGAAGGACTGAAATACACTGCTGAGGGGAGAAACGGGCAAGACAGGAGAGGTCTGCTGCGCCATGTGGGAATCTCCCTGGCAGGCCAGGAATTGCACCAGCGCCATGGAGGCTGCGGACAGCTTCACAGCACTGCGCTCAACCCACTGTGCCACAGGGAAGGCCCAATTGCCTCATTAATTGACAGAACAAGCAGATAAAAATTCAAGATTTGATGAATACATTTCAAGTGTGAGATAATGGCTTTATCTAGACAACTGCATCTGGCATTGACAGGACATGTGTTCTTCTCAAGAGTTCATGGAATCTTCACTAAAGTCAAACATATGCTGGACCATAAGCAAATCTCAAAAAATTTCAAAGGCTAGCTATCACATAAAATATGCTTTCTGACCACAGTGCAATAATAAATAGGAAAAAATAAATAGGAAGTCCCTGAATGTTTGGAAATTAAAAAATACTTCTAAACAACCTGTGATCTGTTGTGATCCCAATTTTCATTGCTAATTTTAATTATTTGTGCTTTCTATTCTTCTCACATCAGAGGCTTGCCAATTTTAATATTCTATTGTGTTTTGTTTCATTAACTTTTGCTCTTCATTATTTCCTTTCTTTAAATTTAAAAAACAAGTTGGTTGATTAGTTGATTTAACACAAATGTTTGTACAGCTTTATAAAATAAAGTTGATTTTACTAATCCTGAAAGAAACCTTGTGAGTTGGTTCTTTTCTTTCACTTGATGGGAAATTATAAACAGGAAAGAAACACATTCATAATTATTGCATATTCACTTTAATATTGGCCCTGAGTTTTACATCCAAGACCAGAGGAACTTCTGCCCTCCTCTTGGATTTCATCCTCTTATCCTCTGAGATCTTAGGAGACACTGGTCCACAACAACCCTGGTTAAGTCAGTGGAAGCCTGGCTCCCACTAGCCCTTCTTTCAATAATCTTCAGTATTCACTGCCAGGAAAACATGGGAGACCTTAGGGAGGGGGTGGAGAAGCACACACAGGATGAGTGGGCAGGCTGTCCAGCCTGAAGGGGCAAGAGTGAAACAGCCTCGTACCACCAAGACTCTCAGTCACTGGACTACAGCCCAAGGCTCCTTTGGCTGCTGACTCATTTTCCAGAATGATAAAGCAAAGCATGTTTGCTGAGAAACAATGGATTGCTTGCTTTGGAAGCAAGATACCACTGAGTAACTATATTTACAGATTCATTTTTTCTTTTTTTTTTTTTAAAGATTTATTTATTTATTTATACAAGCACTAGGTATAGTCAGAAGCGTGGGAGGGTGAGAGAATTCACCAGAGCCAGAGCAGGGAGCAGAACAGGCAGAAGGATCAAGGTACACTGCTGAGGGGAGCAGCGGGCGCAGCAGGAGAGGTCTGCGCGCCATGTGGGACCCTCGCTGGCAGCCGGGGATTGAACTGGCGCTGCAGAGGCTGTGGGCAGCCTCGCAGCCCAGCGCTCAACCACTGCGCCGCCGGGGAGGCCCAGATTCATTTTTTCTTAAGTCTCAAGTTGCATCTGTGTGGGATTCCTGTCCTTGGGGGATATTCCTGATCTTTAGACAGGGCTGCCTTGCATTGCCTGAATGTCCAGATACCCGCATCCTGGGACAGGGGCATCCAAATGCCAGACTTATATCACACGCCATTATACAAACCCTTCTCCCAGGCACATTCCAAGGGCTCTAATGACACAAACTTCTCCAATCTACATTACAATCTATGAGGAGGCCACTCTATTATTATCCCAAGAAGCAGATGAAAAATAGGAGCATAAAAACCAGTTCTTTCCTAAAGTCACCTAGGAATAAGTGAAAGAGCCATCATCTGAACCTAGGTTTCATGGGGAGACACTGTGCCCTTGCCGTGACTGTATCACCTCTTTACATGTGCTTCATACCAGGTCCTTCCCGAGCATCCCACCTCAGCCTGAGAATTGCCATGCCTAAATTGGCACACTCGGGGGAAAAAAGTAAGTTAAAGTATCTGACTTCTTTCTCCATGTCAGGCCAGGTGTTCAGCTGGGGAAGAGGCAAGAGGTTCCCAGACAGGAACAACTATGTGTGTCCCTTGGGGGACTGACTTCAGATCCTCACTGGTGCTCGTTAGCTAATTGATCATGAGAGAGGAAACCCTCTCGGACTTTTGAATGCCATAAGGGAAAAGTTCCCTTATATTGTATGACTAGTATTCAGTGCCATTTCACTTCTAGAGTCTCTAGTCACATATGTTTTCAGCCTTCCACTTCCATACACATTTGCTAATAGAATATGTACTGCCATGGAAGTCTTTTCCAAATACACTTTTTTTTTAAAGATTTATTTATGCATGCAAGAACTGGGGTACAGGCCAGAGGTGGGGGGGGTGAGAGGATTCACCAGGGACAGAGTGGGGAACAGAATAGGCAGACTGACTGAAATACACTGCTGAAGGGAGCAGCGGGCGAGTCAGGAGAGGTCTGCTGCACCATGTGGGTAGCCCCCTGGCCGGCTGGGGTTGGAACAAGTGATGCAGTGGCTGCAGATAGCTTCACAGGTTGCGTCTTAACCCCTTGCACCAACAGGGAAGCCCCCAAATACACTGTTAAGGTTTTCTTTTTCTGGCATCACATCCCTTCTTCCTGCCCACACCACCCCCCGCCATCGTCATCAACTTCCTCCTTTGAATTTCCTAAGAATTGAACTTAGCCCATAGACTTATTATACTCCTCAGATCCAAAAGCTGTGAGACATTTAGTACAAAGCTTCATTTTTCTAGAAATTTTCTCATTTCACCTAAAATTTCTAATTAATTGCCCCCAAATTGTGATATCTTATTGTTTCAATAAGTGTAATAGCATTATAACATCAGACTTTTAGAGTCTCTTGAAATTCAGCTATAAAGGAATGAGTGTTTCATTCAAACTGTTATAACAGAAGGTCTCCTGTTTCTCCAAACATGAGGGGTGAGAGGATTTACAGGGGAAACAAAAGGCGCAGTCCCCTCTGACACTTGCTGGGCTTTGGCCTGGGAAAGTTACAGCAGTCTTCAGAAATGCTTGTGATTTGACTTATCTTAGTCTTGTCCTCAATCTATTGACTGCGGAAGTGGGTTATTCTCCCAGTATCAGGAAATGGATTATTCACTCAGTATCAGGAGCAAGGTCAATGTATGTTCAAGTAAGGAAATTTTATGCCCTCCATGTCTCTGACTGGTTGCAATTTTTCCCTCCTTAACCTCAAGGCTGAACTGAGGTTTGTCAACTTTATCAGTCTTCCAAAAAATGCACACACAAATACCAGTTGGCTTTGTTGATCTTCTATAGTGTATGTTTCTATTTCATTCATTTCTGCCTTGTATTTCCTTATTTCATCCTTTTTTGAGATTTGTTTTGTTCTCTGTGAGATGGTGCCTAGGAGATTATCAGGTGTTTTTATTTTTTAGGATGTAAATTTCTCACATGGCTTGAGCAATCTCTACCGGTCTTGACATATTCTCTATCACTCAGTTCAAGCTATTTTTTAATCCACAATTAAGAATTATATTTATAAATTTCTGCATACAATGGGGTATCCTAGGTATCTTTCCTAAAATTTATTAGATTGCATAAGGAGTCTATTCTTTGTGATTTCAATTCTTTAAAAACATTTGTTGAGATTTCTTTATGATTAAGTATATTTCCTCACCCATTTTATTGAGATATAATTGACATTTAATATTGTGTAGGTCAATTTTTAAGCTTTTAATGTGCTTGAAAAAAATTGAGACTCAAAGAAAATATTTATAGTACTGTACTGCATTTATAGACACTGAAAATTTACCTCATTTGTTTATGAGAAAATCTGCAACACAGTTCAAATCTGTGTTGTTCAAAGTTCAACTATATACTCATTAGATGGCTTGTTCATCATATTGCTTAAATCTGTAGATATACTAATTTAAAGTCTGGTCTATTAATTACTGAAAGGTGTCAAAAATCTCCCATCACAATTATAGACAATCCTGAGTTGTGTAAATAGTTGTCAGCTATTGAGGTATAAAACAGCTTAATATTTTGTGTTTTCTCTTCCCTAAGCCTTCCGTCTTAACGCAATTACTTTATGTCTAAGAAAGATTTGTGTCTTAAAATCTTTATTCCCATAATGTTAATAGAGTGACGTGAATATTCTTTTACTATTTGTTTCATATAACTCCTTTCCATTCTTTTACTTTCAAACTATGTGTGTCCTTATTTAGGGTGAGTGTCTTGTAAGAAGTACATTGTCCTGAATATAAACATTCAGGTCGTCCTGGAATTCATGTTTTTGGAATGCTAATGCCCAGAGTAATATTATGTGGGGCCTTTGGGGGATGATCAGGTCCTGAGGGTGGAACCCCCTCATGGTGTTCTCATGTACTCCCCAACCCCTTCTGACATGTGAGAATACAATGAGACATTTGTGACCTGAAAGAGCCTCATCCAGCCACGCTGATCTCTAACTGCTGTAATCTTGGACTTGCAGCCACCATAACTGTGAGAGTATGTTCTGTTATTTATAAGCCACCCAGTCTGTGCTATTTTGTTATGGCAGTTCTGTGTAACACAATGATAATCTTTGTCATTTAATGAAATTAAATCAAATACAATTTGATTGTAACCAATTTAATTTCATTGTAGACAATATTTTTTTTGCTTAAGATCTAAATTTTTGTCTCACCCATTTTTTACTACCCTTTTTGATTTTAAAAAAATTCATTTTTTTCTCTACTACTGAAATTGTTATGTTCTATTCTCATATTACCTCTAAATGTTACAATGTGTATGAGATTAATCAAAACCTTTATCTCATATCTTAATTCTTTTTTTCTCTTGACTTACATATTATTGTTGTCTGGTATTTTAAATTCATTTATTAACTCCAGATTTTTATTGTTTGGTATAAAATGTTCAGTTACATTTACCCACAAATTTTTTACTCTTTGCTCTTCATTTCTTTTTGCATCTCAGAACCCCACTTAGGACCACTTTCTCTATTCAAATGGATTCTTTCACATTTCCTATAGCGAAGGTCAATAGGAAATGAATCATGTTTTGTAATGTGTTTATTTCGTCCTCATTTTTGAAAGATGTTTTCATGGGTGCAAAATTCTAGTTTCACAGTTATTTTATACTGACAATTATACGTTTATACTGACAATTTCATTATGCTGCCTTGGCTTCAGTTTTTGTTGTTCAATTTTTGAGAAGTCTAATTATTGTTCATTTGAAGGTAATTTTTTTGCCTGAAGATATTAGGCAAACACAGTGTATGATTTCATAAGTTTATCTTAAGTTGTATTTTTGGCTTTTAAATCTGTGCTTTTCATCAGTTCTGAAAAAAAAAAAAAACTGAACCCCATTTTGTTTGCCCCTTTTCTTCTCATCTTCAGAAATCATGGTTAAATTGCTTAAACTTTTCGATGAAAAGTTCCCATTATTTTCTCATATTTTTTTATCTTTAGGCACTATTCTGAATAAATTCAACCATATCTTTCAGTTCATCAAATCTCTTTTCTCCTGTATCACATTCTTTAAATTTAAGGGCAATTGCTTTTGCAACGTAACCACATAATTCAGTATGTGATGTTTATGTGGGCCTGTCCTACTAGTTTCCAGTCATGTTTACTTTTATCTTACATATTTGATTATCTCTGCTTGCTGATTTCTGTCCCTAATAATTATTCACAAGGATTAACTGAGTTTTAGGTTAAAGAAGTCTTTTTCCAAGGAGCTTTTGTTTGCTTCTGCCAAGTCTTGTGTTGTTTTTGCCTGGGATGCAAGGGCTGGTGAGTGGCCACAGCATGCCACAAATGTCTTATTTTTCTTCTACTGCTATGCTTAGTGACAAAGCTGCTCTCTCTAGTCGCCTATGAGGGATTGAGGGAAGGGAATGGATTTTAATCTGCTTTATCTTGTCTTGAGGATGTACTACTTTGGGAACACAGCTCAGCTTTGGAAAGGTCTCCTATAAGATTCATCACACTTTGGGTGGACCTGGCCCTGACCTGTTTCTCTCCTTCTCTGTGACTGGAGAAGTATAGCATCAGCAGACTTGGGTATAAGCTGCCAGTTGTTCATGTCTCTGATGACAAGTTGGCATTGTTGAACTGTGCTGTCTTTTTACTTTCTTAAAAGGGAAGATATACTATCTATATACTTAAACATAGTATTTTTCATTGTTTTTGGTGGGAAATTGACCCAAACAGCCTACCTTTACCAGAGACAAAGTATTATTTCAACTTTTCAGTGGTTGTTTTTCTCTTTTCTAGATTCGAGATGTTCTAGTTCAGATTTTTAGATTTATATACTAGTGCTTGCTTGCAACAATTTACCATACATATATAATAAAATCTGAAACTAAACAGCAACTCAATCCTCTCCTTGCTTTGATATAGGCCTTCCAGCTTCCAACTTACTCACCATTACTATTATCTTTTATATTTAGCCTTGTATAAAAAAGGTAAGTCACTGATTTTTTAAAGTTATTTTTATTTACCTGCATGTTGCAACTTTCGTTCTCTAGAAGGGGATGGGGGTGGAGATTTGGAAATGAGCTCAAGTCCTTAAATGGGCCTGAAGAGGCGCAGCCACATCAGTTCATGGGATCTGCTCTAGAAGTTCCCCTGGAGTGGCTGGAGATAACAAACATCCTTTGTGTCTGGTACCAGTCTGAGGGACATAGATCTGGCTCTAGGCAGATGGGAGGCCCTATGATTCATTATCTGTGCATCTGAGTCATTTGAGGCTTGTTAAGGAGCATGTCCTAGTGTTCAAAGGTTAAGGACACTTAGAACCCCCATTCATGTGGTAGTTCTTCTCCTTGTTATTTAACTTGTCTCTCCTGCAAGTGGGCAGTGCAGTAAGTACAGGTGGGACTCAAGTAGTGTGTATGTGGGGAACCTTGAGTCACAGCCACACCAACTTGAGGTTAACTTGTCTAAAACAGTTAGAGATGGTCTTGCCTGCAGCAAATGAGGGGCCCATCAATGCTTGGTAACTACTGGGAATCAACACTCCAGAGCTTGCCTTTCTATCCACTGAATACGTCCTGCCAGGTACTGGACACTCTGCAGGGTGCATGAATCCTCTCCATGGTGCCTCTGATGAGAACATCCTATTCCCATCCTTTCTTAATACCCCCAACTCAATATGCTGTCACCAGTCACCACTGTCTCACTCTTCCCAGAAGGTGGTCATCTTCCTCTGAAAACCCAGATCAGGAACTTTACTTGTGGCCTTTCTCCCTTATCTGTCCTTTATCTACTTCTAATGCCCAATGCCTAGAAAAATGGATGCAGCTAGCAGATCCCCAAGAATTTGTGGAGTAAATTAATCCAAGTCTGTGGACAGGGCCAGGTTTGCCAGTGTGGCATGCAGAGGATAATGCTCATTCCCTCTCTCTTGATGCCAACCCCCTTCACTTTGCATCACTTACAAAAATTAGTAGTTGGGATTTGGATACAAAGTGAAAGAATTAAACTTCTAGAGAGAGGTCTGGAAACTGGTCAAAGAATGGAATCCCAGAGAAATCTGAATTGTAGAATTCAGTCGACTGTTAGGCCCCACCCAGAGTATTCTTGGGCAGGTTACTTAACTATCAGAAACCTCTTTTTGAATTACCTACTTAACAGCTTTAAACAGAGTGAACAGTGTTTTGTTAAATTCTATCTGTTCCCAACACAACTGTTTCTATGTGGTGACTAATCATTCATAGAGTTGGTCCATTCCAAGGGATTATGACCCAGTTCCAATGAGGATTAATCCATTTTGCATCTCTTCTGATGTAGACACCACCTAATTTCTCATGAAATCTGAGATCTAGCCCTGTGGGGAGAGTTCCCTGCTGTCCTCCCTGGTTTGGATCTGGTATAACTTATACTACAGAGAGATGTGATATATGAATGGCTTTCACTGCATATTGCTGCATCTAAAGATGTTACAGCCTGTTTACTTTTGAGGAATGTCTTTATTGGCGTTCCACCTTACCTCTCCACTACTATCTGGCTCTTCACAGCCAAGAGAGTGAGCCCTGAACAAAATATTCATAACATTTTACAACAGACAATACATGAAATCTTAACAAGAGCACATTTCAGAACAATCAAACACTAAACACAATTAAGAAGCATAAATTTCCTCCTGTCCTTCAATTACTGGTAGCTACCTATCTTTTTAGTTCCTGCAATAAAATGGCCTTTCTCAGCATTCTTTTTCATAAGAATCGATTAATCAGGTTGTGTGTGTGTATGCAAGGTGCAAATTCATGTTGAAGAATACTTACTGAATATGCTAAATTTCTACAATAAAATCTTTTATTTGTAGCGTAATGTGTGAGGTATTCACTCATCACACTTATTGTTCGTTGAGGGGATTTTTGAAATTTTAACAAAGTTTCACCCTTTCAACCAGTATATCACATTATTACAATAGTACAGTCTGATCAGCTTGCATTTTTTATGAGCGACTCTCTCCATCTCCTGTTAGATTTATAAATCTACACTTTCTATAACAAACTTCAAATTTTGTTTCATAATTTGTCATTATTACCTCAAATCATTCAATTATACCTAATTTATATTTCATGATCACTCTATTAAATAAATTTATTTCCCTGAAGCCTGTGTCTCCCTGAATTTGCCTGTAGGGGGCCCTTTTTTGGATATTTTCCACCGACCATGTAAAATTGGGATTAAATGCTATATCTTAAATCATCTACATTTTTATACACAGAATTTACCCAAAGAATAAACTTTCTGATGGACCCTATGTGATTTCTAATTGGTCTTTCCCTCATCTGTGTATGTCCAGAAATTTCTGCTTATCTTTAAGATTTTTTTTCTTACTCAATCCTTTGATAGGTTTTTGGCCCCAGCATGAATGAACTATTTTATATTCCATAAGGGCTGGACACTGGAGCCTTTCTTACAGGCTGTTATTCAAAAATCACATAGAAAAGGTTATTCATGGTTTCAATTATACTAAGTACATTATAAGCCATGAATAAGGACCTCAAATACTCTTTACATTCATAAGGGTCTTCTCCCATCTCAGTTCTGTGAAGCTGGGTAACCCTGCCTCCTACACAGACACGTTCATCCTGGTCTCGGCCAGAGCACTCCCTCTCTCATGAATCCTCTTCTGCGAGGTGCCACTGGAGCTCCCCACATTTGTCACATATAAAGATTCCTCTCCAGCATGGGTTCTTTTATGCTTATTGAGATTTGATCTAATATTGAAAGCCTTCCCACACTCATTACACCGATACGGTTTCTTTCCAGTGTGGATTCTTTTGTGTTGATCAAGGACTGATCTATAATTGAAGGATTTTCCACACTCACAATTATAGGGTTGCTGCCCACGGTGGACACTTTTATGGTTAATCAAACTCGAGTGTGAGATATATGCCTTTCCACACTCATCACATTCATAAGGTTTTTCACCCGTGTGGATCCTTTTATGCACAGTGAGTCCTGAGCTGTTCCTGAATGCCTTCCCACACCTATCACACACATAAGGTTTCTCCCCTGTGTGGATCCGCTTGTGTTGAGAAAGGAGTGAACTATAACTGAAAGATTTTCCACACTCGACACATTTAAAGGGCTTCTCTCCAAGATGGACTCTTTTATGGCTCATAAGAGTTCTGCTTGAGAAAAAAGCTTTTCCACATTCATTACATGTGTAGGGTGTCTTGCCAGGGTGGGTACTTTTATGGTTAATAAGGCTTGAATGTGAGATGTAGGCTTTCCCACACACATCACATTCATAGGGCTTCTCACCCGTGTGGATTCTTTTATGCACTTTAAGGCTGGAGTTGTTTCTGAAGACCTTCTCACACCTGTCACATTCATAGGGTTTCTCTCTAGTGTGGACTCTTTTGTGCTGAGAAAGGAGTGAAGTGTAGTTAAAAGATTTTTCACACACATCGCATTTGTAGGGCTTCTCCCCAAGGTGAATTTTTTTGTGGTTGATAAGAGTTCGGTATGTGATGAAGGCTTTTTCACACTCATCGCACTTATAGGGCTTTTCCCCAGGGTGTACACTTTTGTGATTTATAAGACTTGAGAGTGAAATGTAGGCTTTCCCACATTCCTCACATTTGTATGGTCTCTCCCCAGTGTGGATCCGTTTATGTACTTTAAGTCCTGAATTATTTCTGAAGGCTTTTCCACACTCATCACACCCAAAGGGTTTCTCCCTTGTATGAATCCTCTTATGCTGCTCAAGGGCAGAGCTGTAATTGAAGGACTTCTCACAGTAGCTACATTTATAGGGCTTCTCCCCAAGATGGATTCCTTTGTGGTTTTTAAGGCTAGAGCGTGAAATATAGGCTTTCCCACATACATCACACTTATATGGTTTTTCCCCAGTATGGAGCCTCCTGTGGACTTTGAGGCCTGAATTGTTTCTGAAAGTTTTCCCACATACATCACATACATAAGGTCTCTCTCCAGTATGAATGGTTTTATGTTGAAGAAGAAGGGAGTTATAGCTGAAGGATTTTCCACACTCCTTACATTCATGGGCTTTCTTCCCAGGGTGAATACTTTTATGGACAGCCAGGCCTGAACTATAGCTGAATGCCTTGCCACAGACATCACATTTGTAAGGTTTCTCGCCTGTGTGGATCCTTTTATGTACTATAAGGCCTGAGCTGTTCCTGAAGGCCTTCCCACATTCATCACATTCGTAAGGTTTCTCACCAGTGTGAATGACTTTATGCTGAATGAGGAGAGAGCTATAATTAAATGATTTCTCACACTCATCACATTTATAAGGTTTATCGCCAAAGTGAATGCTTTTATGGTTTAGAAGTGTTCTGCAAGTAATGAAGGCCTTCCCACACTCATCGCATTCATAGGGCTTCTCACCTGTGTGGATCCTTTTGTGGACCCTGAGACCAGAGCTATTACTGAAGGTTTTCCCACAGATGTCACATTCATAGGGCTTCTCCCCTGTGTGAATCCTTCTGTGGACTCTGAGGCCAGAGCTGTTCCTGAAGGCCTTTCCACACTCACCACACTCATAGGGCTTTTCCCCAGTGTGGATTCTCTTATGCTGGTCCAGAACAGAGCTATAGTTGAAGGATTTTCCACACTCATCACACTTACAGTTCTTCTCCCCAGAATGGGTGCTTTTGTGGTTTATAAGGCTTGAGTAAGACATATAGGCTTTCCCACATTCCTCACATTTGTAAGGCTTCTCCCCAGTATGGATCCGCTTGTGGACTCGAAGGCTTGAGCTGCTGCGGAAAGTGCCTCCACAGTCATCACACTCATAGCGTTTCTCTCCGGTATGCATGATCTGATGTTGGACAAGGCGGGAATTATATTTGAAGGATTTTCCACACTCATCACATTTATGTGATTTCCTATCAGCACTGGTTTTCTGCTGTAGACTGGGGTGAGAGTTTCCATTAATGCTCTCTCCACATTTGCTCTGCTCACTGCTTTTCTGTTCTATGGGGACGGTCTGTTGAGTAACATGTTTTAAGCTCAGACACAAACTTTTCTCAGATGCCCCGTCTTCCTTTTCTGTCTTTATATTTGCTGTGTTTTTGATTTTGCTAATTTTTGCCTTGATTCCACTTTTCCCTTCCTTCATTCTTTTTTCCGCAGATTTTTCCAACTGATTTTCTGTCTTGTTATCCCAATCGTAAGTTTCACCAATCTTAGAATCCTGCATATAATCTTTGTGATGACCTTCCACTTTTGGCCACACAAATTCTGCATTTCCAACATTTTTATACTTTTCAGTTGATTCCTCATCTTCAGTGCCCCTTGTCTTCAAATGTGACACTAAACCGAAAAAATGAAAACGATACCTGTTCACATTGTTTAGAAGAAACTGGAAGAATTACATCCAAATTCACTCATTCACTTGACAGATGTTTATTGACTACACGCTGTGTAACAGGAAACACTTTTAATTGCTGGGTATACAATGGTGGATATGTCAAAATTTCTGCCCTAAGGAAATGTTAAAATGCTGGAACCTATGATTTTCAATGGAACAAACAACTTTTCTATTATTGCATAACAGCTTAGCATGGGGCAAGTTGAAATCAGTTGAAATGATACACAGAACTAAGGACAATATCAATTAGTTTTTTGAAAAATGTCAGGAAGCCTTTGGAAAAACAGAGGATAGAAGAAATCTCTGGGGAAGAAAAGACAGAAAGATTTAGTAAGATAAAAGTTAACATAATCAGAAGAGGGTAGAAAATGCTAAAGAGGAGAAATCAGTACCTGAGTGGAGGTACTGGTGGGATGTTTATGGGATCATGAGGACATTCATTTCAGAGATGAGGAGGAAAATAAGCTGTAGCTGCCTGTTGCTGGGTTGGCCTCTTGGACTTAACCCCAAAGAAATTACTGACTCTGGAAACAGCATTCAGGGAGAAACTCTATATGAAGAAACACAGGCCTGCCAAGAAACAGGTTTTTACACCTATTTTATGAGCAAGATAATTACAGTTAGAGCATATCAAACATTAGAAACTCTATCACAAACTACTGAATAAAGGAAGTAATAATGCTTGGGACCAAATACCCAGTTGTATGAACTCAAAAGTTATTCAACCTCTGTAAAATGAGGGTACTAGAGTTTCTGTGGATATTAAATGTATTGAAAACAATGGTGTTACATGCCATTATTACTTTTATTTCTATAAAGTCAGAATATTGGATCAGGGTTGGAACCTGAGGATAAAGTAGAGGACTCAGAAAAGGTAAACTCCTTCCAAAGCAGATTTTAGGGCCCAGGCAGGAACTACTGGCACTCCATCAAGAACAGAAACAGTTCTAAAGCTGCTTATCATCTAATTTAGATAATTAGACATTTGTGATTAGACTAGTTAAAATTTGGATCTCTCCCTTTTTCCTGGGTATCAGATTTTGTTAGGTGAGTACTGTCAATCTGTTAATCCTACTTAGAAATTCCATATGTGAACATGTAATGAGGAAGCCAGGGCACTAACAGAAAAGTAAGATACACACTTTGTAGTGGGTATGGATAAAGAATCACTCACAATCCAACTTTTGCTTATGGAATTGGAATGATGAGTTCTGAATTACAATAATTAATTATGATAATTAAAGCTAGAAACTCAGAGTTTCAACATGGACATAAAATAAAGTACCATTCAGGAGACATTAAACCAAAAGTGGTTCAGTTGAGAAAGCATGATAAAATGACTATTAAGTGATATTAGGTAAGAGATGATCAGTGGTTAAGAGAATGGTGGCACAGCCTTATTTACTATTAGGCAGAGTGGTCCACATCATCTGAAATATCAGGGCAATTGGGTGGACAGTGGAATTCTAGAACTACTAACAGCAATATTTGTGTTCTAAATTCTGCTTCAACACATTATCAGGGGCTCCATCCATTTCTTCCCTTTGGCTTTGACCCTTCCACCCCAACTTACCCTTAGGCCTCAGGAAAGAAAGATGTTTGAGTTCCTACAGTCAAAAAACAAAATCCCAGGGCCTCCCTGGTGACATAGGGATTAAGTCTCAGCACTATCACGCTATCACTGCTGTGGCCTGAGTTTGATCCTTACTCAAGGAGCTAACCCTCACGACACAGCAGACCTCTCCTGTCTCACCCGCTGCTCCCCTTACTGGTGAGTGTATTTCAGTAGGTCTGCCTGTTCTGCTCCCCACTCTGTAGCTCTGGTGAATCCTCTCAGTCCCTGAACCTCTAGCATACAATCCAGTTCTTCTATGCATAAATAAATAAATCTTAAAAAAAAAAATGATGAAATCCCTTACAAGGAAGATACACATACACAAATAATTGCTAGAGGGAAATAAAAAAAACTTAATAGAAAGTCTCTATAATAAAACAGTACTATGTTGTAGTGTTGTATAGACAAATGTAATAGAAGGTCCAGAAACAGTCCTAATTACACACAGAAATTAAGTATATGGTAAATATGGTATACCAAATTGTTGGGTCTTTTTACTAGTGTTGGAACAACTATAAAGTCATTTGAAATAAAGATAAAATTAGAACTATTTTTTGTGTTACACACAGGAAAAAATTCCAAATGGAGCTGAGCGCTAAACATAAAAAAGAGATGCTAAACAAATACTAGAATAAAACAAAAGTGCCTAGATAACTTGTATTAGAAAGTTTTCTAATACGCTCCATATGCAATAAAAGTGATAAATTTCACTACATAAAAATAAAACTGCATGACAAAAAATACCAAAAATAAAATTGGGAAATAAATGATGAAGCAGAAGAAAATATTTCTAAAATACAATATATATAGAAGCATTAATTTCCCTAATAAAGAATTTTCAAAAATTGAAGAGACAATGGGCAAGAGACATGAACAATTTGCAAAACATTACAAGGGACCCTTACATGTTTTCAATTCCACTGTAAGAGAAAGGCAAATAAGCTAACATCTCTCCTCTTGACAGTGTTGGTGAGGCTGTAGGGAAACAGGTACTCTCACACCCTGCTGGGAATGCAAACTGTACAGGGGAGTTTGTCAGTATCTAATACAACTATGTATAAATGATTTTACACTTCAAACCAGAAATCCCACTTCTAGGGATGGAAACCTAAGGTACAATGCAAAAGGACATATGCACAAACATGTCCTGTAACATTATTTGTAACTACAAAGTCTGGAAAACTGCCTAAAAGATTCAAGCATATGTGACTGGCTGCACATAATTAAGTACTAAAAAAGAATGAAGAATATCTCTGTAAACTGATAGGAGGCAATTTCCAGGCTGTTCTGTAAAGTGAAAAAAGGGCATATATACTACATGTTTTGTAAGAAATAAGGAAAACAAAAATATATTTGCTTTGGTTTATAATGACAGAAGTCAGAAATCAATGATGTCTATTATTACTTAAAAGGGGTGGGGAAATAGAGCAGAACAGGGGAGAGAAACACTGAGCTTTTTGTATATTTTAGTTATGGAAGCTTGATAAAATCTGGAGACTCAACCAGTAAAATTAAATCAATGACAATGAAAGGGGGAGGGGCAGGAAGCAGCTAAACTGGAGAGAAAACAGAAACAAATGAATTCATTTGTGTTTCAAAGAAACAAAGAACAAACCCACTTAACTCATATACATAACATGTGACTATATGCATACACTCTGGGCCTTGGGAAGACTAAGTGGGGGAGGGGGAGGTGTTGGGGGACCAGCTGCAGTGGGGTGGATAAAACAACTCTGAAACAATTTTAGTGCCATGGGACTCAGTAAATGTATTGACTTAGTTTGCCAACCAGAGCTTTCCTAGAAAAGGGACCAAAAAAAAAAAAAAAAAAAAAAAAGTACTAAGAGGAATAAGGAACAAGAAAGAAGTCTGTGCAGATGAATTAGAGATACTGCTGTAAACGCATGGTCCCTATTATGTGTGTTTATATATATTTACATGTATGTATATTCACATGCATACGTACATGCATTCCTAACTTTCTCTAGTCAAGAAGCAAAAATAGGGAGCACACATACAATGTGAACCTGGGCACCTTGCTGTGCCCAGCATGTAAACAGAAGTTCAAAGAAATGATGTGGGCATGTCATAAGGTCACAAGAGCCACACTGAACACCACTTTTAGGCTTCCATAATAAAAATAACAGTGAATCATAAATCTCTAAAAATAGGATTTCATGAGTCCATTCAGATAAAAACATGGGGGAAGGAGAGGCCTCTTGCTTATAACAGAATGCCAGTTGGGAAATGGTGACAGCAGTAGGGTTGGGGGGAGGCTGGGGAGGAATGCATTCTACAACTATCAGAATTATCTAATTCTAGGGGGAAATTTCAACATGGAACAGTATATCTGCATGGTCTTAAAATATTCCCCCACAGAGGGCAAGGGATAAAATAGTAATTATAGTGGAGAAATTACACAATGCCTTTGCCAGGTAATCTAAATTGTTATCACCAATGGAGACAGATGGACAACGTGCTTTCAGAGGTAAGAGCATTAGGACACCTCATTTACAAGAATGTATTACCTGACCTGAATTACTAGGTAAATCCAAAATGAAGAAATTTCTACTAAAAGGTATGGATATCATATTCACAAAAGTATCAATTACACATACAGGTTATAGAAATGTTCCACATGAGGGGCCTTCCTGGTGGCACAGGTGGTTGAGCGCAGCACTGCGAAGCTGTCTGGAGCCTCTGCAGTGTGGGTTTGATCCCAGCAGGCAGTGGAGATACCCACATGGCACAGCGGACTTCTCCTGTCTCGCCCGCTGCTCCCCTCAGCAGTGTATTTCAGTCAGTCTGCCTGTTCTGTTCCCCACTCTGTCTCTGGTGACTCCTCTCACCCTCTCGCACATCTGGCCTGTACCCCTGTTCTTGTATTCATGAATAAATAAATCTTTAAATAAAAAAGAAATATTTCACATGAAAGAAGGCAACAGAGACTTGAACACTAAAATTAATACCTGACCTGGAACGGGTCTGTACTGGATGGGAAACCCGCTATAAAAAATAAGTGTATCATGGCCTCCCTGGTGGTGCAAGAGGTTAAGCACAGCACTGTGAAGCTACCTGCATCCTCTGCAGCAAGACTTCAATCCCTGGCCAGGGAAGTGACCCACATGGTGCAGCAGACCTCTCCTGTCACATCCACTGCTCCCCTTGGCAGTATAGTTCAGTTAGTCTGCCTGGTTTGTTCCCCACTCTGTCTCTGGTGAATCCTCTCTACCCCCTTTACTTCTGGCCTGTACCCCAGTTCTAGTATGCATAAATAAATCTTTAAAAAAACATTGTATCAATTGACAAAATTGGAGTAAGGGTGGTAAATTAGATAAAATTAGTGATGTGAAATGTATTGAAGCTGACAACTGTACTGTAGTTATGTAAGAGAATATGCTTATCCTTAGTAAATATACATTGAAGTATTTAAGTATAAAGAGCTATGATCCAAGTAAATCACCCTCAAAAGGTTTAGATAAAAATAAATGTTACATATGAAAAGGCAAGAGAAGATAAAATGAAGTGAATTATTAAGTACAAGAGTACATGACTGAAAGATATTACTATTCTTGAAATTTTTCTGCATTTTTGAAATTTCTCAATGAAGTTTTAAAAACCTTAAAAATTTTAAAGCTACCACAGACATCTTCTACTCCATGTACTGCTTTTACCACCCTGCCTATTTACAGATGTAAATACTTGAAAAAATGGACTTCTCCCACTGTGGGATCCATTCATTCTGATTCCTTCTATTTAAATCACACTGCATTATTTGGGAGCAGGTACCAATTCCCCACCTGCTGCCCCTTGGATGTTCATTCACCCTCATTCCCCCTTCCATTGTGAATCTTTCCTCTCCTGACTCTACAAACTTTCCCTGGACAACTCCATCTACATGTGTGGCTCCTACAAGCTGTCTCACAGATCCTAACTTCTTGCCCAGACCGCTCTCTTCAATTACAGACTTTCATATCCTTCTGCCCTCTGTCCTCCCTCTGGTAAGCCAGAAGTGGGCTCTTCTCTTTCCTTTACCCTCCATGTCCTAAAGAGTTCTTAAGTTCAGCCAATTCTTTTGCCTAAACAATTCTCAAGTCCCCACCCCTAACTCCATTCCCACTACTAAAGCCTTAATTTGACCCTTCTAAATTCTCTCTGCACCACTGCACAGTCTCCTTACCTTTGCTTTTACCCTATTCAATTCATCTTCCAATAGCTGTCAAGAGTTTTGAAAAAAGCATACTTGGTCACTCCTCAATGCCCATCATTCCCACCATGCACCTTGTGTGAATATTCATGATACCTCATTCGAACACTTCTATACCCAGCTCCCTGGAATTACTCAAACACCAAATGGGCCATGCCAATTCACCCCTCCTGCCACACACACTGATGATGCTCAGCTAGGAAGGATTCTATTCACTGATTCTCTCTGACAAACTAACTCTTAATCCTTTTAATGGCCTCTGGGATTCATATAAATCAATACTGAGACTAAGAAAAAGTTCAGCCCAAACAGATAGAAAAGCAGAGACATATTAAAACTAGCATTAAGGAAACTGCAGCTGCTAAGTCTGAATAAATATTTCCCTACCCCAAATTCATTTGTTGAAACTCTAACCCCCAAAGACAAAGATGTTAGAAGTGAGATCTATGGGAGGTGCACAGATCATGGAGACTTCATGAAGGGGATTAGTTTACTTATAATTTTTGTTATTTACAAGCCACCCAATCTAGGTGTTTTGTGATAACAGCAGGAACAGACTAAAATAGCTGCTAAAATGTAAAGGTAACAAAGAAAATGTAACAAAATATTAAGTTCCTTATAAAAAAAACTTAAGATGCAGTCCAGTGTCTGTTATTCCTGAGGCTGTGCACTACCTCAGGAACTTAGAGTTCACATCCTGCCAAGGCAGTGGGCTGTCCTGAGAAGCAGAGATGGATAAAAGCCCTGTGATCAAGGATAGTACAGACTAGTAGAGAAGTCTGGCAGGAAAATAACTAATGTGCCAGAAAAATGGCAAAGGGCATATGAGAAGAGAGAAGAGATTCACTCTGATTTGAAGAACTAGGGAGAGCTTCAGGAAGAGCTTCAGAAAGGGAGTGGTATTTACTACCTCCTACACATCTGGAGCAGAAGACATCAGGCACAGATTCACAGGCAGGCAAAAATAAGGGTTATACCAGCGTTATGTCCATCAGACTACAGAGTCCAGACTTGATGCTGAGTAATTTTAGGCAAAGGAGTAGCAAACTCAGATAAGCATTTTAAATCAGGAGTTGGTCAATTTTTCTACAATGGGCCAGAGAGAAAATATTTTAGGACCTGTGTGACACACACCACGCTGTCATTTATTTTTCATTTTCTTTCTTTCTTTTTTACATTCCTTTAAAATAAAATAATAACAAAACATGCTTAGGTTGCAGACCACCGTCAGTAGTTTGCCAACCTGTTAGATAATACCAAAGAATCAGAGTTAACTTGGGATGGTGTGATAATGGCACTGTGGTTTTAAGTGTTATTTTTGGTAGACTTAAAATGCTAGTGTGAAATGGCAAGATGTCTGGAATTTCCTCTACAATACTCCAAATAATCACAAATAATACGGGAAAGGTAACACAAATATAGTGGAATCTTGTTGGATTTGACTGCATGAAATGTTGAATGAGTGAAGGTATATGTTGGTAAGCATAGTTGTGCAGATACAGGCAACCAAGACAGCTGTTAAAATGTAAAGCAATGGAGAAAATGTAACAAAATGTTAAACTAACCTAAAAACGCTTAAGATACATCCCAGTATCTGTTATATTTCTGAGGCTGGTCTACTTTCCTATATGTTACATTTTCTTAAAAAGTTAAACAAAAAAAGATCACTCATACTAAATGCAGAGGCTCAATGGATTGGGTTGAGAATTGAGTCCTGGAGTATGGAAAGAAGTTAGGATGAATCTAATCAAGAAGACTGCTGCAGCAGTATATCATGTGTCCCACATTCCACCAGAAAATAACCCCAAAAGCATACCACTTGTATAAGAGGATCAGAAAGGCTTTGACCCACAACATCTGGGCACGTCTGTGTTTGTTCTACTAATGCCTAGAAAAGAGCATGCAAATAGCAAGAATCTGCCCTTAATTCTTGTTTGCCCTGCCCAGAGTCAGGAATCATTTTTCAATGAACCTTGACAACTCACTAAAGAGGAATTATTGCTCACTTCGGCTGAAAAATTCTGCTCATTAGCTGTTAAACTCTGGTGTTCCAGAGTATCAACCCTATTCCCCAAGACAATTTATAACCATGTGTCACATTTGAATCTGTACCTTAAATTATTTGATATATTAGACTTTGAAATTAACAGAGAAAGAAAAACAAGAGGGAATGTGAACCCAAAATGCTCAGTGACTCAGAAGAAAAAGTATCTAGGAAGTGAGAGAATGCTGAAAGATTAAATAAGGAAAAAGTGAGGGAAGTGATAAGCAGATGGGGAGAAAATATTCTATATTCTTTAATTTATGATTAAGATAATTGTAAATGATAAATGAGTTGGTTCTATTGGTTAAAGGCAGAGATAAGGATTAGAGGTGATTTTTCCTTAAAGTAAAGGAGGAAAGAAAAATTCTCATACCTGGTAGTGGAGATTTCTATTCATCCTGGGGAATAACCTAAGCAAAGGAGAGTCTGAAAGGGAGGTTGAGATTTTTCTGAGCAAAAGGGGTGGGGACTGGCTTGAAGAATCACTACCAGAATTAGTTTACTAGACTAGTGAAGGGCCAATATCACAAAAACAACCCTTGGGAGAGAATAGTTTTATTTGTTCATCAAAAACTCTATGAGTTAATATAATGACTTGGCATATTTAGCAATCTACCAATAATTTAATCAATGTAAACCAAAAATTACTGATATTTAATCACATCTCTAAAAACCCTTGCTCGGATATACCTGAGTATAATGTCGAATGCACCACGGAGGAAAAAATTGGGACCAACCCAAATTCCCCAAATATATGTAAAAAATTACAGAACATCCAAAGAACAGCCAATCCAGTATCTCAATACTGTTGAAAAGATCTTTGTGTTTTGATGATTTCTAGGATAAAGTGGAAAGAAGGGGCAAAACATTTGTAGTTATCACCTGCGTAAAAAAAGGGGGGGGGCGGAAATAACATTCATATTTGCCAGTGTTTGCATAAACAAACTCTGAAAGGACACATTCAAATAAACTAACAAAAATGGTTATGTAAGGGGGTTGGACCTAGGAAGATGGCTGGCAGGGCGGATTTATTTTTTACTGGTAATTTCATATTTTAAAATATCTAAATACATAACTTTTTCAAAACCTTATTTAACACACACACATACACACACAACTCTGCTTTCAAAAAAGAAAATACCCCGATGGCCCCTAGTCCAAACGTCTTAGAGAAGTTCGTCCAGCCTCGGGGACTCCCTATTCATCTCTCACATCCCCACTCCCGGGTTCCCGCAGGCTGTCGGGTCTGGAAGCCTCCCCAAAAGGTCTCCCCAGTCAATTTCAAGCCAGCGTCTTAGGGCCGGCGCGCGGCGGCTGCCTCCTCCTGGCGCAGGCCCGTCTGCAAACAGGTGATCCTCCCCAAGACCTCCCAGGGCGGGATCCACCCCCGTCTCAGCATTGCTCCCCATCAGAGACAGACAGGCTGGGACGAGGTGGTTGAATCTGAGCATCTCTAGGAGCCCCTTTAACGCTCGTATTCACGCTCAAGTTCCGGGGCCACATTTAACGGCCGTGGGTGCAGGACACAGGGGTTATTTTAAGGCGCTAATTTTCAGGGTCCCCCGACACAGCGCGAGTATTCGGGAAACACTGGAGAGAGGTCCCTGAACTGCCCCGGACCCCGGGCAACCCCCGACCCCACCTCGGACAGCCGCGACGGCCGCAGCTGGGCCCAGCGCGCTCCAGGGGCGCGCCCGGCCCCCCGGCCAGCGCGCGGGCGCCCTTCCCCTCCCCTGCGACGCGCCTCCCGAGTCGTACACGGGGGAAGAGCGACGCTTCTTCCCAAATCCCGCCCGCGACCCCAGGGCAGCCGGGACCCGGTCAATAAGGGGAGGGCGTGGCAGGCGGAGGCGGGGGGCGGGCGCGCGGGCGGCCACGGACTCACGTACTGGCTGTGGCGGCGCCGCGGGAGCCGGGCCGCCGGCGGGACAAAAGCGCAGACGTCCCGGCCGGAAGGGCCCGCGCGGGCTCCGGGGCCGTTCCGAGTACTCTCTGGGAGGCTGGAGGACTGACTCGATGATCCGCCCTAGTTGGGGCACGTGACTTGAGCGCGCCGGGCGGACGTCGGCGCGGAGGGAGCGTAGGTGCGTTCCTGCCCGCACGCGCGCCGCTTGGCGCCGGCTCCGGGCGTGTTCCACATGCTAAGCTCCCGGTCTTGTGGACGCTAGATGGGGCGGGGGAGGGCGGTGTTGTGAGCACGAAGTACATAGCAAGTGCCTCGGTAAAAAGAAACTCCTGACCATATGCTAATTAGAAAGTGAGGCTCCGGGGCGCCCGGGGCGGGGGCGCGGCCACTCGGGGGGGCCCGCCTTCTCCCGGAGCGGGTGGGCGCGGAGGCTCGCGGAGCACCCCCAGGGCAGCCCGGCTCGCCCTCGGCTCCCGGACCCCCGCACCCCGCTCTGCGCGGCCGCCAGTGGGGCGGTGACCCTGCCCCTCGCGTCTGCGGGGTTCGCGAACTTCCCGACCTAAAGTGACTTTGTAAAGCTCTCCTTGTTTACCAGTGACATCTTAATGTCTTGCAACTTAAGTTTAAATAATTGGCATGTGCAAGTACAAAACTGCGTGTCATTCTTTCAGATATAGCCAGTGAACTCAAGTCCAAGACGCTTTCTTTCTATCCACTTTTAACAGAGAATTGTTCTTTTCTGTTTTTTTTTTCCTTATGTTTATATTTTACTCTTAATCTCATGTATTGGCTGCTGCGGCGCTGCAGCCTTCATGGGATTTTTATGTTCTTCATGGGATTTTTATCCCAATTTAAAATCTTTTCGTTTTTACGTTCCCTCCTCTAATATTGTCCTATTGTAATTTTATGCTTTAAAATTTATTGTTTAGCGTAGCATCCATCTCCGTAATAAAATTAGTTTACAATTTTTCCTCATTTGTAAGTGTGCCCAAGATCGGCAGACTCGGTGAGCATAGCCTCCAAGAACCCAAAGACAGGCGATGCAAACACAAAAGGGAGTTTATTAGACTCGAGTCCCGGCTCAGGGTACCTTCCCACGCAGTGACAGATATCGAGATCCCCCAACAAAGGAAGCAGGGGTTTTTTTATAGGGTTAAATCATGCTGGCAGTTACTCATTGGCTACAAGGATGCGTTCTTCAACTTTGCGTGGCTATAATTCTAAGCTGACTGGTCCAGCCAAGATGCAGCTCCAATCATGGTAAGTTCACCCTCATTGGTGACAGGAGGATGAGGGTGGAGTGAGGGTCAAAACTGTCGAAACTATCTCTGGAATGCAGTCGTCATTCCCAGGACAGCAAAACCTAAAATTCTAAAATGGCAGTTATACACAAAATGACAAAGCAATGGCTAAGAATACTTATGCCTGGTTCCACAGTGTTAGATTATACACTGTTTGTGTGTGTGTGTGTGTGTGTGTGTGTATGTGTATCATCAGTTCACTAGCATTTCACTACTTGTTAGGCAAAAAGTAAAATGCTTTGTAAATACAACTTTTAATAAAATGGCTTTTTAAAAAATAGTTCAAGTTATGCAAATGAATCACTTGGATGTATTTTGCTTGTTGCTGGAGTGAGCTAGGCTTCCACATCACATCTACACCTATTTGCATTTTTTTACAGCTGTAGGTGCTGAGTAAATAGAATAGAAGGAATTTTCTTGCAGCAGTGTATTCTTGGCTGCATTAGGTTCTAAGCCAGAATTCCATGCTCTTCTGAGTCTCGATCAGGGCAGGGTGGGTTATTTGTTAGAGCACTCCTGGGCAGCAGGGGGCCCTTGGAAGGAACAGGACCTCAAACCCTCTGAGGCCATGTAGTTTTGCATGAAATCACATATGCACATGTTGAGGATTGGGAGTGGATTGCCCTAGAGCCTGGCCAAATAGCAGCCTAGGCACCTGTAGTTACTCGGCACATGCAAAGTGGCTGAAATGAAGAATCTGAATTTTTAATTACATTTAATTTGTATACTCATATGTGATGGAGGGCCGCTTTTATTAGCCACTGAAGCCCTAGAAGTTGGCTTTGAATAGACTTCACAGTCTCCAAAAGAATTCACACTACAGGTTGAAAGTTGTGGTGTTAGTCCAGTCTGCCACGCGTGGCAGAAGATTGTCTTTTTCCCTCTACGCAGCAAGGTGGAAAAATATTTATGTCCAGGTTGGGAGGCTTTGCAGATGAAAGGTGGTGTGTGAGGAAGGAATCATTGGAAGCTCATATAAATAGTTTTAATTCAGGTGATTTTTATTTTAGATGATGATTTTTCTTCCATGATCCTTGTGTATACACACACACACACACACACACACACACACACTTTTCCCAACACCTGTCTCTTCTGGATAACTAAAGCAATGTCTACACCTGCACTGTCCAATGTGGCAACCACTATGCACATGTGACTGTTACACATGCTATGTGACTGGTCTGAATTGAGATGTGCTATGAATATAAAATCTATATTGAATTTCTAAGATTAGGAAAAGAAAACGAAATAATACATTTATGTTGATTACATACTGAAATAATATTTTGGCTCTGTTGGGTTAAATAAAATATATCATTAAAACGAATTTCATCTGTTTCTTTTTACTTAATATGTGTCTACCAGAAAGAAGTCACATACAAGGTTGCCATTGCATTACTTGATTCTACTTCTAGGAACTACTCTAAAAGGCAAGAAGTGCACAGATAACATTGTCCCATATTTGCTCTTGTTTTGGAGTTCCTCTGCCCACTTTGGAGTGGTTCAAGAACAAATTAATGTCTAAAGGGACTTAATTCCAACTCCACTTTTAGTCATTGAATTCAGTCACAGAATTTAAAAGTAAAAATCCCCTTTCCATTGTTGCAAAATACTAGCTCACTGTATAAAATTAGGGAAAGTGAGTATTTGTAATCCTGTTACAATTACTATTACAATTACTGTTAACATTTTAGTAAATTTACATATTTTTCTGTCATCAAAGGATTATTTTCAGTGGTTGTAATAATTGAATCTACAATTTTTCAATATAACATTTTACAATTAATATTGTACATGGTCACTTTTCATGTTACTTTTTTGTGATATGCCAGTCAACTACATTCTCCTTAACTCTTCTGTTGTTAATCATTGAAGTTCATTTAGGTTATCTCTTTTTTATTATTATAAGTCAGTGCCATAATAGAAGCAGTGTGCACAGCTTTTTCTGTATTATCAGTGGAATACTTGACAAGAGTCAAGAAATACTGGAAGCAATCAGAGTAAAGAACTAGACAAGAATGTTACCCACAACTCACAACTGCCATTATTTCCCATTGCAGCTGGGTAAGGAAAAAGAAAGCAGGATATAAACACTGAAAAGTAGGGGTATAATTTTCCTATTTGTAGATAAGAATTTTTTTTTTCCTGGAAAACTCTAGAGATGCATCTTAAAACTATAGTAACGAGAATTCTATATAGGGTGTGGTATCAAATTTAACTTTCAGAAATCAATAGCTTTATTATGTACAACTACAATTAGAAAAATGAAAGGGAAGTTTACTTTTACAGTAGAAATAAGCAAAATACCAAAGTACCCAGGAATTAAGACACACACAAGTCCTATATGAAGAAAAGTTACAATGTTCCAGGTGTCACAGAAGATGAACTAACCTATGGAAATATTCTTGTAGGCACCATTCACATGGATGGAAATGTTTGGTATTGACTGATGCATTTCTCTAACTTAATCTGTACCTAGAACATCCCAATAAAAATCAGCAACATATTGAGTCCCAGGGACTAAGGTTAATTAGGCAGCTTCAGGGACAGTGCAGGCAGAGATTTTGGGAAAGTTAAAGAGGCTTCTGAGATGAGGACAGTAAATTCTAAGATGTATTAACCAAAACACACTTCAGAAATGAGGTCGTAAAGTCCAGGAGGACTAAACAAATACAGTAAAACTTTTGAGGATAAGACCTTGAACAGGGGAGGTAAACTCCTAAGAGAGAAAAAAGGTGTAAATACCCCTACGCTCAGGCTCACAACAGCTTCCTTGCTGTACTTGGGTGTCCTTATTTTCTTCCTTTAAGTAAACTTTACTTTTTAAACAAAGTTTGTTTCTCTCTGCTTACTTATCTAAAATGTCTATGAATTCTTTTTTACAGCTTCATGGGACAAGAACCTGTGGTGGTTCTGTTACAGGGCACGGAGAGGGGCACCCCAGACCCTGCAAACCTGCCTGCTCTAAATAGTTTCTGTCTTCCACTGCATCAACACAGAACATATGAGACTTTAATGAAAAGGAATTTTAATACAATTAATAAACAATACAGGAAAAGCAAATAATATAGTTTCTAAATCAGGCACCCAAAGTTACCCATCTCCACGTGGGTAAGAGTCCACCCAAGCATTATTGGCCCAGAACAAGGCCCCAGAGCCTGCCACAAGTCTAAAGCATCTTCCAGTGGGGACCCACAGAAAAGGCTCAGAAACAACCAGACAAGTCTGGGAGGAAAAGAGCAAAATCAAAATCAAGACAAAACCCGCCATTGTCACCTCCTGACAGGTCTCCAACCCACATCTGTTTCAACCAGTCCACGACCAAAGGCAAACGCAGTTTCTTCATGTGTCTCCATGTGCCTCCTCCAGGTCTCCTCTTGCTCTCCATCCTGCTTCCTTCCTTCCTTA